TCTTAAACAGCTATTCATATTAACATATGGCGCAAATAAATTAGAAAACCTCAAATCATACAAATACCTCGGACAAATATTGAGCCAATACGGAAATTTTAATCTCGCTAGCCAGGAGCCGGAAAAAATTGCAATCAATGCTCTGTATAAGTTGCGAAAAGAGATGGGAGACCACTATACAGAAAACTATATTACAAATGTAAATTAACGATAAAGTTATAAGTTGACACACTTGTATACCCGAAACTTTTCTATGGAAGCGAAATATGGGGCATTGACTGCGACGGAAAAATAGATAAGGATCCCGCAAAACTAGTACAGAACAAATTCTTAAAATGGCTACCGGGTGTAAATACATACTGTAATAATGTGTGCAGGGTGGAGACGAGAAGGTTCCTAATAAAAATTGACGCCCAGTGTAGGAATTTAAAGTTCTGGCTATCTCTGATAAAGAAAGAAAATAAATTATCGCAAATAACAAACGATGATATAAAATGGAATGAAAATAAAGCTTTCTGGAGCAAAAAAAATCAGAAGCACATTAAGACAGATCTGATATATACGACTAGGAGAAGTTTGGATAAAAGCACATTAGACTCAACATTAATCGTAGGCATAACAAGGCAAAGGTTTAATTAAGGATATAGAATTACAACAATGGATGAGTGAAATGAATAACGACATACTTAGAAGAGATGCTGACCATAATAACAAAATGAGCCGCCAAAGGATAAGGTTAACAAAAATTGCGATTTTTATAAGCAACCACAAACTCGCCATAGAAACACGAAACGGGGCTATACTAAGACCTTAAGGTGATGTTACACGCACGAGTCGATTCGCAACGACGATTGTTAGCACAACGCAGCATTGCAATATTGCTGCGACATTATTTCGAATTGTTACAACATTCTCCAACATTGCAACGCAATTTTTCAGTGCTAGCATCTTTCACAACCACCGTCCTATCTCAACAGTCTGAAAGGATATAAGGTTTGCTGGGCTGTAAGGTATGCTAGGCTGTAAGGGCTGTAAGGGTGTAAGGGCTGTAAGGTTGTAACGGCTGTAAGGGCTGTAAGGGCTGTAAGGGCTGTAAGGGCGTAAGGGCTGTAAGGGTGTTAGGGCTGTAAGGGTGTTAGGGCTGTAAGGGCGTAAGGGCTGTAAGGGTGTTAGGGCTGTAAGGGTGTTAGGGCTGTAAGGGTGTTAGGGCTGTAAGGGTGTTAGGGCTGTAAGGGTGTTAGGGCTGTAAGGGTGTTAGGGCTGTAAGGGTGTAAGGGCTGTAAGGGCTGTAAGGGCTTTAGGCTATCCTTTTAACTCCAGCCTATCAAAATTGCTTAAAAGAGCCACTATTAAATAGAGAAAATTGTTTTTGGTAGGCCAGGTAATAGGTGCCTTATGGGCAACGTAAGCGATTTGCATTTTGGTAGCAAAGCAAGCGCGGAAAAAAAAAAAAAACAATTAATGCCAGAAAACGTGTTTTTTGCTCTTGCAATAAATTGCACTATGGGTGTTTTGCCTTTGGCGCAAACTGTCCTGTCCACCCATGTTCGCTAATAAACCACCTGCCGGAACCAATGCCATAAAGACATTATTATGCAAAAAAAAAAAAGTGCTGTTGCCATGACAACAGGCAAGAGCCTTGAAAAAGCCTGGGTTCCCCCTACAAAGTGGTTTCATTCGCCATTTTGTTTTGATCATTGTTGCGTTGATAAAAAAAAAGAGTTAAGCGTCTCATTATACCATGCATTATAATCTGAAACTGCTGTAAGGGTGTAAGGGCCCTTACACGAACCCTTACACTGAAAACCTATTCGTAATTCATGACTGGTATAATATAGTGAGCTCGTAGCATGTGTTTAGGATAAGGAAGAGAGTTCTTAATACCCCTGTAGGTGGAAAAATATGAGAGATAAAGACTAGGCTGGTTGCTCGAAAATCAGAAAACCTTTTCTTGATGTTTGGACGCGGGAAAACTCAAACCGAGCAAAACCTCGTCGTCCTTCCATGTCTGTATTCTCCGCCATATTTGTTTTGAAAGAAAACGGTACTCAGTCTCACTCGGCCAGATTTCTTAACTGGGGCGATCATGTAAACTCGGTTCCAGACCTCGCTGCCATCCCCCCCTGGTCGCGCTTTTAACGTGTTGAGATGGATGTAATATGCATTGAGATGAGCTAAACATGCAGTATAAATTATAATAAAATTATGGTAATGAGAGGTAATATGCAGCATTAAAGGTTATTCCGTAGCAAACCTTGTATGAAACTAAGATCAAATACTCCACTATTGCGATGTCACGCAACAAATATTCGTCATTTAGAACAGCTGAACGGGTTTGAAAAACCTTGTTTAAGACGAATGTAACAGTTCTCTTACTGGTTCTTATAAATAATGTGAATATTTCTCGCTTAAATCGAATTGGCAGACAACTTCAGCCTGTCGAATTGGCAGCCGGCGAATTGGCAGTGAATTGGCAGACAACTTCAGCCTGGTTACACGTCCTCGTCTGCAAAGTAGGACACAAAACATATGTTTTGTTATCTCGATTTCCGCTGTTATTTTGAAGCGAATGTCAAAATCACATCCATTTTCGGCTCATACAGTTTCTTAAGAATAGCATTGCATGACATTTTCTCACTTTTACATCACCTTCTAGCAAGCTGGAATTTGTATATCCCCGTGTTGTGAGTCGAAGAGCAAATGCTCATCTTCTCGTCTGGTTTAACACCTGGACGAGTCAAAGGCTCTTGAATTGAAATCCAATCCCCAAGTTAACCATCGTACTCATCTGAAAGACTCCTGCGTGTCTTAAAATTCGGTAAGACCTCTAACCGTGCTGTAGAAAATTTGCCACAAAGAAAACTCTAAGTCTAAGCAGCGAACGATGCACTCTCACCCACCGAACTTCCCCGTGTTTTCATTTGAGCTGTTCGTGGCGCAATGCACTCTGGTTAAATGCAATGCATTGTGGTAAAAAGTGTGGTTAAATGCAATGCATTGTGGTAAAAAGTGATGAATTCGAGAATTCATCGCCCCTTATATATTTCCTTTAAATCCTGATTGTGTTGCTGCTCGCTCCCTTCGGTCGCTCCGCAGCAACAAGTAAACAAAAGAATAAAACAAAACATCTATTTAAACAAATTAGCCCATTTAAATATATTTTGTGTTTTATTCTTTTGTTTACTTGTTCGTCGTCTTTCCGTAAGGATCAGTTTGCTGTGTTGCATTTTATACAAGTTGTTATTTTACTGATCAAGGTCTACAACTGGGAGATCCGGCACCACTCATTGGTTTGTCGCTGTGGACTTGCTGATATTATAGCACAGATAAAAAAGAACTACTAAAGATTTAGCAGTAAACAACAGAAACAGCTACTATGTCTCACGGCTTGACAGCACTCCCTCGATCTAGCTGAACGAACTAAAACAAAATATTGCAACTTACTTTCTCTTTGAAGATCTCTAAAGGATAAAGCGTGGATTTTTGATTTATAAGGTGGAATTGTTTTAAGTTTTCATTAATTCATTTGTTCTTTCTTTCAATCCCTTTCCGAAAACTCTGGGGCCTGAGTTGTCACCTGCAAAACACGCGCGTTCCAACGCGCGTTTCTCCTGGCCTCCCAGATGACCTAGACTGACGTTATCAGCCCTTAAAGCTGTGTTCAAACAATACTGGAGAACTTTTGCCAAAAACCATGGTTTTCACGAAAACCATAACAGACAAGGCTTCCGTTAACACATAAGAAAGCTGATTTTGGCGCCATTCTTTAACGAAGAGAAGCTGCCGCGCCGTTCTCGAAAGTGTAGTTTCAACTGTGCTAGCCTGTTCCAGGCGTTCAGACAGTAGAGCGTGGGAGAAATATTGAAGACGAAAAAAACGAGGAGAGACTAGGGAGGGAAGGGCAGGAAATTGCTCTCACCCCAATCTTCGCGCGTTTTCCACCTCGTTTTCCACGCGTGCGATTTAACTCGCTTCCGGCCATCGGAACTCCGCGCTCTACTATCTGAACGCCTGCAACAGGATGGCACTGTGCCAAACTTTGGTACAGTGCAGTGTGAACAGCTAGGCATTCGGACTGTAGGAAGTGAATAAGTAGGAGCGAGGACTGGAATCCACTGAGATGGAAGTAAATATTCACGAGGGAGGTCAAACGCTACGGTACGATATTCGGCGAGTGTGAACAACTTGTTTCAGCTCTGTGTCGTTGCTGTTCGTACTATATCGGGTAGCTTTTCGTGTCGGCACGGCGAAATGCTATCCGGTATAAAGTCGACTCTCTCTTAACGGACAAAACGGACACCTTGGTAAAACAGACACCCAGAGTTGGTCCCTGCCTTTCTTGACTCCCTTGATTTGACTCTCTATAGGACGGACACCTAGAGTTGGTCCCTGCCTTTCTTGACTCCCTTGATTTGACTCTCTATAGGACGGACACCTCTGTTAAACGGACACCTAGAGTTGGTCCCTCCATTTCTTGACTTCCTTGATTTGACTCTCTATAAGACGGACACCTCTGTTAAACGAACACCTAGAGTTGGTCCCTGCCTTTCTTGACTCCCTTGATTTGACTCTCTATAGGACGGACACCTCTGTTAAACGGACACCTAGAGTTGGTCCCTGCCTTTCTTGACTCCCTTTATTTAACTCTCTATAAGACGGACACCTTGGTAAAACAGACACCCAGAACTGGTCCATGCCATTCTTGAATCCCTTGATTTGACTCTCTCTCAGACGGACACGTGGTGTGGGTACCAAAGGTGTCCGTCTTAGAGACAATTGACTTGACTGTGAACATAGGCAAAGATCGACAAAGGGGACCTTAAGCAACGACAACGTCAAAAAACAATTGGTTTTATGAGCAAAACAACTCCTCTGCTTTTTAGTACATTTCTGCACGACTACGACATGAAACCTCCCAATCCGTTGTTTTATGAAGGACGTGGACATACAACGACAAATTTTCCCTTCTCTATTTGAACACGGATAAAGCCCTTAAGAATTCAACTCCAGGAAAAGTGGCATACATTTGACGAATTGAGCGGTTTCAAATAGACGCGATAACGTCTGAAAGGACGCAGATTCATTTTTTTAGTGACGTTTCCACTGCTGTCGTCGTCCGCGTTGCTTAAGGTCCGTTAAGACTCGTGTAACGAAGACAAGCTTTATAAAAAAGTAAAGAATGACAAGCTGACTTTATTTTTTGCATTAATGCTCGTTAAACTTAGCGTTACAAATGTTGATTAAACCGTATTGTAGGTTTAACACCTGGAAATTGAAAAACGCTAGTAGAGGAAAGTTAAGAAATATACTATTTCGTTAACTACACTCAGAAAAGGTGCCCTGTAAATAAAAAACTGAAGATCTGTTTTAGCCCTTAAAATGGGACCTTTTCGGTCAATGGGGTGGCTAAATCAGACTTTGGTCTGCAGGCCTAAATTGGCACTTTGTGGCTACAGCAGATCATTTTAAATTTAAACTGTAATAGGAGATTAACGACAGATCCCGAAAACCTGACGCTAACAAACAGAATAAGAGCGGACTGTTGACTAAAACTGCAGATTTAATAAAAAACGAAACACTAGACAGTTATCTCAACGAGATTCGATTAAAAACGATACCTGTTTTTCGAGGTGTAAAAAGAAAATAAAAAATATTTGAACATAAATATAAAAATAATGTATTGGAGTTTAAGCTAATTCAGTTTAAATATACTTACATATAGCAATAAGTACCTTTTCACATACTCTTCCATAAGATAAAATGTGCACCAGATGTTTTCATCCAATATCTCCGTTTGATAAGAAATCTATATCTCACTACCTCTCAACAGAATTATTTACTTCTAACCGTGGAAAGATACTAATGGCGTGCCTTTACTTAGAAACTGCAAATTTGCTGCTGCCTTGTTTGTTTTCTCGCGTTTTTCTCAATAAAACACGACCTATTTGAATAACCAGCACGCTAATGAGGCCCTGTTTAAATGGACGGTGAACAATCGTCCGAGAAAGGTTAACCAAATTGGTTACTGTTTTTCCCTGTTTCCTTTAGAATCGATTGAGATGGGGTCCCACTGGAGTTATCCTACCCACTTTCTAGTGTAAACCCTACGGGTTAACTTTTTACCATGTTTACAACGTTCTTAGTCGAGTCTGTGTTAACCTGCGAAGAGAGAGTTAAATGCAATCAGTAGCAAAAGGGGGTATTTCATAATGTGTCGACAGCTATTATTTATATGTGTCAGTATTGTCCAGTATCCTTTCAATCTTTTTTTAAATCATTTGTCAGTTACATCATCTGAAACAGCAAGAAACTGCCAACCAATTGCGTTTTACACTGGCCAAAAGCACACTGTTTGTCTACCATTTTTTTTTAATGCTTAGCAGCTAAGCTGCCTAGCCATGGCTTCAGGTCCTAAATAAAAATTATACCAAGGGGCACACTATAATTTTGGCAAAGGAAAGACGATTACTTGTTTATTACCACATGTTAGTCTTAGCTGAGCAACATATTTATGAATGTCGTAATAAATGCACTTATCCTTCCTTTTATGAGAAAAGAAACTTATGAATCCAAATAACAAGTTGCCGATCAGGAAAGTACATGGGAAAAGTTTCAGTTATTCTGCCGTGGTAGTGAAAATTAAAATACAAAAAATCTTATTTCTTACTTTATAATAGTAATAGTGCCTAAATAGTTTTTGTATCAGCCATTATTACATGTAGGTAGTGTACTTTGTGTATCTCTAGTAGTTCATTATTGATATAGATGTGGTAGTGTATATGTCATAAATTTTTGCGAGTTCTAATTTTTTGCGATTTTTCCAGCGATCCGCAAAAAAGTAATAAAAATTTGTTGTTTAAATGCTTTCTTTAACTTAAATTCGCACAGTACTAAGAAATCGCTGTTCAATCACAACTTGTCAAAAACAACGAAATCAGGTCCTAAATAAAAATGAAAATATATCAATGGGGTACAGTATTAAAATCGCAAATAAACCAAAAACCAATTTTCTGGGTCCCTCTCTTTTCCGTAAAAATACAGTCAATTATTTAATCAATATTAGTATGTGCAATTAAGTGCTAAAGTGAAGAATTACAAATACAAATACAAACATGGACTTCGAGAGCAATGTCATGCACATTTTCTATTTCGATTTTAAACTATTGGCCTGCAAGAACAAAAGCAGGAAAATTCCTGAATAGCAACACTTCTCTAAGAATTTCTTTAAGGGCTGTTATCCAGTAATGTAGGAGCTGCTCGTAAGGTGTTTCCTCACATTATCCCATGAACACTTCTGACAACGATCTGCAAATTCTACAATTTTCAATGAAGCTACCCCGCCCATCACAGTATTATCACAATCATATTCCTTTCCGTCACTATAATTCTTCCTGGTGAATTTCATCCTCAATTTAACGAATTATGCTAAATTAAATAACATCAATATTATATCCTTTGCTTTGTTTGTTGCTCAAAAAAAAAGTGTTTTTTGACAGTCAAGACCGATTAAAGTCTCAAAAGCGTATAACTGATCTAAGACAGAGGTTATTTACTTGCCGTGATTACTGTGTTAACGGCTTGCATATTCAATCTACTGACATTAAATTCAATTCTTCTTTGTTAAAACTAGAAAAAGCTTCTTTGTTTAGGCTTATTTACATGGAAAAACTTCGTTGCATGTAATTTGCTTATGATAAAGCCACACTGAACCTGAATGATATCCTGACATATACACTTCCCCTCGACATTTTTTTGCGAGTGCGAGTCGCGATTTTGTCCCTGCTAAAAGCCAAAGGTATCCGATCCGTGTCGTCGGCCTATCTATACGCAACACATACGACAAAGGTATAACAAATGTAAATCTGCCTTCACATTACCATAAATATCTAGTGTCCATGTTGTGGTTCAGTTTAATCCCTGGTTTAAATTTTATTTCCCTTTTGTTTTAGGATATGGTAATGTATGATAATGACTTAGGAACAAAGGGAAATAAAATTTCAACCAAGGATAAAATTGAACCACAACATCTACACGGTTAGCGAAAACATGTCAAATCATGTAACTAGAAGCATGTGATTCAAATTTAAGAATATAAAATTCCATTTAAATACTTAGGATTACTTACAACTTAAATCGTGATTTATGTCTCTGTAAATCTATTATCTCACACCTATCTACTATTTCTCATTAATTAATATAATTAAAATTTTCCGCATGGTTGTGTAAGACCATCATCATTTTTTACATGTAATGTATTTAATGCCGCATAAGCCTGTCCTTAAAAAGGCTAAATTTAATGCAATAATCCGAGAAAATCTTCACCTTTTGCTCCTTCCCTGCTTACACTAAAGAAACTTGATTTCTTTTCCCACTGGGCGGAACAAAAATGCATGTCACAATATTGGCCTCTTTATATTCCCAGACTGTGTTTGTTTAGCTCAGTGATTTACAGTCCACTCTCTCTTAACGGGCACTTCTCTAAGACGGACAACTCGATAAAACGGACACCTACGCTTGGTCCCTACCTTTCTTGACTTCCTTTATTTAATTCTCTGCAAGACTGATACTACTCTTAGTCGGACACTTAGTGCCGATCCCAAAGGTGTTAGTCTTAGAGAAAGTTGAATGACTGAATATTCAAAGCTCGTGCGTTCTAGCCACTCATGCAAGTGCCCAAGCCAAGCCAAAAACCAGGAAACCCGCCCTTCACCCCTCAATAGAGACATCAAAAAACGTAGGAACAAAGCTTTATTCATGATGCGCTGCAAACCTACGTGCAAGATTTAATAAGGTTGGACCGAAACGAAAAAAAAAAAAAACAGTACACTTATAAAGGACTTGTTGTGGCTTTGAAAATACAACTCAAGACTTTTTACCATCTTTCCAGACTTTATCTCCATTTTCAAGACTTTTTCCTGGTCTGGAAAATTGCAAGGCAAATTAAGACTGTACCAACCCTGGTCCAAGAGTAATGTCCGTCTTGTAGAGAGCCAAATAAAAGGAGTCAAGAAAGGCACGGACAAACTCTAGGTGTCCGTTTTATAGGGAACCTCCACTTCAACAAAAAGATAACTTTAAATCACAGGAAATAACTGTTACAGTCAAGTCAATCTAAAATATTTTTAAAGAAAGCGTTTGTATCCGAAAGAAATAACTTTTAGATTCGCCTACTTTTGTTTTCAAATTTTGCGGGCGTCGCCATCTTGAATAATTGTGACGTGTAACGGTTGCCCTATTGTTATTAAACAAAAGCTCTTTGTGTCAGAATAATAGAGCAACCGTAACACGTCACAATTATTCAAGATGGCGGCGCCCGCGAAATTTGAAAGTGAAAATAAGCGACTTTAAAATTCACTTTTCCTGATATAAACACTTTTTTAAAGACAAATTTCGAACAAATTTGTTTATCAACATAATTTTATTCGATTTAAACTTATTCTGTAGTAAGAGTGGAGGTTCCCTTTATAGAGGTGTCCCTTAAGAGAGAGTCGACTGTAGACTTCTTGATCCAGATCGTTCCTTCCAACTTAATTTGCGCGAAATTCTCAACATTTCACGCACCATTGCTAGAAATCCTACTATAAGCTGATTGGTTAGGCGTCTTTTAGCGAGTAAAATGAGTCCGTGAATAGTCTAAAAATCTAACTACGTACGATCCAGGCATTATGTGCCCTATAATGCTAAGGGCAGTCGTTACTTAGCATTCGGCTTACCTTTCCGCGTTGTTTATGAATTGCACTTAGCAGACACTAGACTACCAGTCCTTTTGGAATGTCTCGGGTGCCAGCAAATCGAGGGAAAACGTGGTGGTTATTGAAAATCACTGGCCAATTTATGGTTTTCTAAGCTGGGCTTCCACCCTTCTTGACGCTTTTAAAAGTAAACAATGATTTTACAATAACAGAGCGATTTTTCGCGCACTGATTGGTCGAGAGCCATGCTCAATGAGAGTATAGGCCATGGAAATGACTTAATTATGGCGCAATTTGTTTTCCTCTTTCTCTTCTGAGCGATTCTCCCCAATAAACTTCACCGCAAACGGACGCCAAAAACTGTCCATGTTATTGTAAAAAACAAATCGCCTACATTTTTCCATGGCCTATACTTACGACCATAGAAATGATGTCAAAATGATCAAACCTTTGCAGTGAAACCACTCGACTGCGGTTCGAGGTTTCACTACAAAATTTGAACATGTTGACCTCATTTCTATGGTCGATAAAAGTATCGACCATGGAAGATTGCAGTCGACTTGCTGATTAGTTATCGAGGTTGGCTAAATCATAAATGGCTTTGAAGGCAGTTCAGATAAACCCCGCCTACACTCTGTTTTTAAATAACCGACTCATGAAGTTTGCTGCTAGACAGAAAAGGATCATAAGCGGCTTAGATATTGATGGCAACATGGTAATTTGACCAAAATTAAAAGACAAGAAATGATTGTAGTTTAAATACTGTTTTAAAGTTAACTACGCAAAAACTATTCACTTCACTCATCTGGCTTCATTTTCATAAAGGCTTCCGTTCTTCTCCTCTACAACCTCTGAAACGTAACATATATAGATTGAAGTAAGCAACTTATCAAATCAAACCTTAATGGTGCAAAAAACGGTTGACCTGCACCGTTCAAAACGTCTTATTTCATTGGTCCCCTTTAATCTGCACTTCCATAGTTTTTTTCAGGGATAGGGGCATTGTTATGTCACAATCCCTATTGTTTTCCCAGGTGACCACAAACAATCTTTCAAATAGGCGAAGATCGCCCCGTAAAAAACGTTTTCCGCTCGCGGCTTTACACTTCATGTATACTTCACCATTCGTCACTTTAGAAACAAGAGGGAAACTGGGTCGAGTCAACTTTTGCAAAGACCTCTGAGACTGTTACTAGGGGTAGAGAAAAATTGGCCAATAGCTGACCAGCGCGTCCCCACTTAGTAACGATCCCAGACACACTTGCGGGACACATTTCAGCTCCAGTCCCCTTCTCGTTGTTAAACTGACGACTACAACTTGCAGCAAGTTTTAACAATCGAGTCTGTGAACGAAATCCTGTAGTGTGACCATTGAAATGAAAGCAACAGAGTTGGCTTGCGAGCAGGCTCTCTCGGGGAAGGGGGTCGGGCTAGAGGATGAAAGCAGCTATCTTGTGAATGACAAAATTACAGCTTTGTGTCAAACAAACAGACCTCTCAAACATTACTTCAAACGTTACAAAAGACAAAAATTAACTTTGAAAAACAACTAGGCCAACACGTTTTGCAAAACCACAATTGCAATCCGTTTTAAATGTAATCTTTCTCAAGTTTGTCCTTTTGACTGTATTTACTGTGTTATCTATAGCTTCTATTAACGTTTTGAGCGATTATTTTTACGTTCAGTCAACTTGGTGGTAGTTCCCGCTGAGTTAATTTTCATAAATTTCGTGACACAGCTCCTTTTTAAACACATTAGACTGCATTAATTTGCATCGGATCGCAACACACACCTTTCTCAGCCGCAGCTTTTTGTTTCATAAGAATCCGTTTCAGCTCTGAAGTCGCCTCATCTTTGGGTTTTCCATCCAGAATATCTCCAGCAGAGTGACTCCGCGGTTTCCTCAGGACAACCTTTGTTAGTTCGTTGTTATTTTCCCCAGATTCTTGGACGTTAGATGCTGTCTTTGCCGTTTCGTTTGCACTGCGCTTACGCAGTTTGATGTTAGCCCATTCCACGTCCGGTTCATCTGTTGCTGAAGGCGATGTTATTCCTCCAAAATCAACACTTGGATTCCTCTTAAGTGTTTTCTGCAATATCAAGGGAAAACAGGATTAGCTAAGTCAGTAGAGCGCTTGACTGGCTGGAGAACTTTGCAAGGAAAAGAAACCGAAATATTTGGCCATTTGCAAAGGGGTGAGCGATAAGGAAAGATGAAGGATAAATAGGAAAAGAGAAAGAGGTGAAAAAGAAATACGTGAGGCTTTTAAGCCTGCTTTTCATAAAATCTGTGAAGGTCTGCGAAACGATCAGACGGTGGACTGCGTCGGACGTATTCAGAAAATCCGAGACAACAAAAGCAAATGTTCCTTTTTACTTTAGCGATGGTTGTATGTCGTGTACACCGGTCGCAGATCGTGTTACAGATCATATGGAAGCCCTGGCTTAAACAAGCCATTGACAGAAGTCGCTGAACTCAATAAGGACGAATAGAGAGCGTTAAAAGTTTCCCAAGTGAGAAAGATGCGACATAACACTGTTTACAGTCCATTATTGTCCGTAAGATCGTCGAAATCGAGCGATCGTAACAGGCGCCTGGCCACCTTCGTTTCAACTGTTAGTGTTACCTGGAAAAGAGTACGGACCGAGGTTAAACAAAGGAATTTTTGAGCGACGCAAGTCAAACGGAAGGGAGCCCTTTTTCCCTTTTGATATTTCTTGACACCACCAAATTTGTATTGCTAGGGGACTTTATTCTTAAAGAGACGATTTGCCCGAAAACATGGGCAAAACCACCCAAACAGAATGCAAAAAGTCCACTTGGGGTTGACATGCCTCGCTGAAAAATGTCTTCAAAGTAAGAACTCGATCTTGACGAACTTACGGAACAACAGGGAACAAGTCCGACACATCTTCTCATAAAACCCGGAGAACTAATTGCAAACATTTTCTAAGTATTAAAAGGGGGCGGGTAGGCTGATCATTGGGTATCCTGTAGTGATTACAGTAATTCCAAATATGGGTGTGCGGCAGCAGAACGAAAATGGTGGACGCCAGATTCACTTGTTGTTGGAGTGACGACGAAAGAGTGATTGAAGACCCTATCCAGGTTGCAGTAGACAAAGGAGCCTATCTTTGGGGGCTTAAGAGTAACTTTTTCAGTTTTTGAAGGCAACGTTTTTGAAACTGAGCAACTTTTAAGCACCTTTTTGACATTTTTTGGTGCAAAATTTCGGCAATTTCTCAGCACAGCTTGCACATTCCTAAAAAAATGAACATATCTATAGCAAGGTCTTGGGGTCGTTCAGTCCAACTCGCAGTTCGTATTTGAGCAATGCGAGTACCACTAGCCTGGGGCTGAATTTTTGACATTCCTGTTTTTTAGTAAACATTACATATGCATGGAGTCCGTAAGAAATACTCTTGCCTCCTTACCAGTAAATTTCCCAAATCTGACATGGCGTCTGTGTCATTACTGTCATTACTACTATTGGATGGCTGTAATCAAACAATAAACAAAGTTATTTATAAATGTGTGCTTTCTTTCCTAAACTGCAAAACAGTCCGTATTCTTGCGTATTCAAGTACGCGTGAGCAGTCAAACAAAAGGTCTGGAACGAGGTTGAAAACAGAGAGCGAGACTGGGGAGAGACGCTAGTTTTTTCTCTCGCCTCACACGCCTTACGGGCGCTTTGTGCGTGTAAGACAGGGCGGATAAAGATTGGGCGGTGAAACGAGCGCGTCCGAGCAAAAAGGTGTGATGCAGTGGACTGGGACTCTGCTTAGAAATGTCGCTTGTTTTCGACTTCGGTCAGGGCTTGCGATGTGGTTTGTACATTAGACACTGCCGCTGTCACTGAATTATGGCGGCTTGATTTGTTTTCTTGCACTTCTTCCTCGTTCTTTTGTGCTGGTACGCCGTCTCCGAGAGGAAAATGTTGCTATTTTTTGCGGGAGGTTTAGTTGGAGTAGACAAACATCTCTTTCAAAGAGTTTCTTTTATGACTTCCATGACTCTACCACTGAATTTATTTCGTTCTGCTACTCGCCAATGTCGATGTTATTCCAAAACAAAAACAACTAAGTACTGTCTAAAACACGAAGGAAAATCTCATCCATGTCATCCATGGCAAAACTAAAAGACAGCAGATCGTGTTTCAAAACTGGATGACGTGTATTTTATAAATGCGTGCAGCTCGTGCAAGGTGAAATTATGCTAATTTCAATCACCATCATCCTTCTTTTTAATTTTGAAAAAAACATCTCATACGTCTTTCTGTTTCTTCGAAACTTCAAAATTAGTTTCCCCTCAGTTTTTACTGTTTACCTTGTTTTGTTTTAGAGAGATAAACTGAGAAAAAACCTTACAACTAACCTCAATAAATTTTGTTTACCTGCGGTTGCCGGATTTGCAACGCATTGCGCGAATCGCCATGGCGTGTTGCACCCGAGAAGCAAAGTTTGAAGAAGTACGACGCCACTATATCAATCTAATTTTTTGTTATGTTATTCAAAATTTATCCCCATTTAACATATGTAAAAATTGAGGTTAAGAAGTGTTAAGCTTTTGCAAACGAAACGGCGAAAGACGATTAGGTGATATTTAGTGGAAGGAGGAGGTATTCAACACTTTCAAATTAAACTCAAATTTTGGCATTATACGACCAACAAGTTTGACTTATAGACGTACAGACACAAACATATGAAACTGTTTATTGATATTGTTATGAAACGAATTTATCTATTTAACATTGTAGCCTGAAATTACAGAAAGAAAATAGGATTTCCGGTTTGCAAAAAGGAAAATTTTGCCGGCCTTGAAGCGCACCGGAAGCGCGGAAGAAGCGCTCGTGCCAGTCCTACTCCGCACCACACATTAAATGAAGAGCGGAGCGCTCGTTTCATCGCCCAACCTTTATCCGCCCTGGTGTAAGACTCTCACGCCACGCTTTACCGATTTCTTTACTGATTTTGAGAAAAAAAAACAAGTTTTGCAGTCTCTTTCTTTCCAAATGTTATTCTCTATAGGAAATTACTTTCCGATTGAATATTACTTGGTAATTAAGCACCGCCAAATTGAATGAAAAACTTCAGTTCAGTGGGTTTTTTACACTAGAAAACTTCATTCTTGACAAACTGGCTACTCAGTAAAGGTGAAAATGTTGTGGTTCAACTTTATCTTTGCTTTGAACTTTATTTTCTCTTGCTTTTGGATATGGTAATGCATGATAATAAGTTTGAAACAAAAGATTTAATCCAAGGATAAAATTGAGCCATAACCTGGACAATAGTGTTGGGAATCAGTTCAGGTTTTTTAATCGACCATCAGAAATATTCATGTTGACCCACTCAATAGACCATCGATTACAATCGGAAAATTGTCTTTATAAGACTTTCAAAAAACTCACAAACAATACAACCTTTTTGAGTTTTGACTGTAGACCACTAAAATATAAGCTCGGAATTTTTCTCTGCTTTCGGGAGATTAAATTTCCTTTCTTTAGTTAAGACAACATTAAAAAGGCATCAAGAAATTTTATTTTTTCCCCGCGATAATCGATTGACGTTTTCAATAATCGATTATAGCATCGCTTAAAGATTTCGATCGATGATCGGCACACCACTAGGAAACAATTATAGATTATTTCACTAAGCACAGGTTTAACTGCATGCAATCGTGAGCGTGACACAGGTCGACTAACAATGAGACTCACTGTTCTGACGGATTTAAGTTGTATGTTTCCACTTTTAATTCTCTCCATCATTTCACTCATGGCGTTTGCCATTGGGTCTTTAGGAGCTGCTGCTGAGAGATTATTTGTAATAGAGTGAATATGGGTAGGCACTCCCGAGCTAAACTCTTCTAATACAATTTCTGCATTCCCCACTTTAAAAACGAGAGGGACCCTGGGGCGAGTTAACTTTCGCAAAGACTTCTGGGACTGTTACAAACGGCAAGAGAAAAAAAAATGGCCAATTGCTGACAGACGCTTCCTCAGTAACGATCCCACAAATCATTGCGGGACACATTTCAGCTTCAATTCCCTTCTCTTTTCTAAAGTGGCTAAAGCCAACAAGTTTATCGACCGCTCTACGACAGAAGGCCGAAACTGTTTCGGGTTTCTGCCGGAGAGCGGTTGTCAAAATGAGGTAATGTGACTCGACGATATAATCCTGAGCGGTGAGTAGGGAATCTGGACGACTAGCCTGCGCTAGATATCTCCTTCCCTATGCTTCATGTATTTCAACTCCCTTGGAGTGCAACGGAGACAAAATCGATAATCCCAAAAGGGCAAATGCAAATGTCACCTAACCCCTGAAATCCAAAATATATCATTATTATCATAATTATTATTACTATTCACGGAAGCCGTTATTCAGTATAAATAATCCTAGATAAAAACACTGAATAACGCCCTCCGTGAATTTGCCAATCTTTCTAGTTCATCTAAATCCAAGTAAAAATATTCTATACTTTTGAACTGCTCATACTAAACCTTGTTTCAAACTCGCCCAGGGCTTTTCCCTTAGAAATGGTAGAAGCGAGGGTTTGCCACCCTCCCCCCCCCCCCACCACCCAAAAGAACCACCATCACCATTACCACCCCCAAAGACACGTTTTAAAATGAGAGTAAAGCTACAATCGGCGACAAAATGAGTTGAGAAACTTCGCCCTAAAAGGGATTTTTTTTTTTAACTTCAAAAGAGGTAAATGTAGCTTTTTCTCCCCCAACCCCTCCATGCAATGTTGTGCCGCTGTTCGAGCTACCTTTAGAAAACAACAAACACCCCAACTTTGAATGGAGGGGACAGGTCAGGGGTGTGGAGTCTTTTGTTCTCTGAAGTTACCCTGTTTGAGTACAATGTCTCAACAATTTCGTCGCCGATTGTAGAGTTAAATGCTAAATTTCCATTACAAAAAAAACCTTAGCAAAGACTTCAATACTTGCCTTTTCCTCGCTTTAGACTTTCCTTCCTCTTCTTTGATCCCACGATGTTCATAAATTTCCTAAGAACCAAAAGACAACCAAAGATTCAGTTAATTCCTGTTAATGAATGGCACAAGCATTTCAAATGAAAATTGAACGTTAGTTTGCCCCCACGTCACCAAGCAACAACAACAAATTTTAAAATATATAACCTTATCCCTGGAGAAGCAAATGACAGTTTACTTACTTGATGAGGTGAGTTGGAGGCGGAGGGGGTGGAGGTGGTGGTGGAGGTGGTGGAGCTGCTACTGGAGGGGGTGGCGGTGGTGCAGCAACTTGTTTCTTTGCCTCCTCTAAACTTTTCTCCAGTTCTGAAACTAAAAAGACAAAAAAGTCAGATTACGAAGAACAAACAATTTTACCAAGCAACGAGGCAGTCAGCAAAGTACCTTTTTGGTTTGCTTCGGCGGCTTTCTTCTCAGAATCTGCCAGCTGTTGTTCTAAAGACTCTATGTGTTCCTCAGCTAGCTGCAGCTTTTCTTCAGTAACTGTTGCAAAGAACCAGGAAAATATTATATCATATTACATTCTCCCTTATACGAGACACACGCAAGACATACGAGACGGGGTGGGGCATGTCTGGCGCTCCTCGCTTGCTTCGCACTTGCCTTCGCTAACGTAAAAAAGGCGAAAAAATAACACCTGTTCTGCAGGCTGCTCTTTTAAAAGACCTCCTCTTAATATCTCAGAAGGATAAGGTCAAAAAAATGACTAGAAAAAACAAACAACCAGTTGCGCCAGTGGTCCAGTTTCGAGTTCGCTATGACCGCTGAATTAAAGAAGTGAAGACGCATTTTTTACAGGCATAACGTACCCCTCCGCGGCAAGGACAAAAACCACTCCAGTTCCGCCTTATGACGTGAAAGCTATCACGTAATGCGACACGGCAATGTGACGATCTGCGGGAGTAACTTCTCCTAAAAACAGTGCTATTTCTTGTTGGCAAAAAGCGTTTCCCGCAACAGTCGCTCGGGTGTTTCTCGGAGGTGAATGCCCCAAACAGTCTTATGTAATGTAATCTAGCTGGTAGCTACATACCTTTGATATATCCTTCATCCTTTGAATCTTTCATTTCTTCCATAAGATCTTTGATCTGTAACAAATTCATTAGGGTTCATTACCAATAAGACAGCTTAAATTTCACCATGTATTTGAAAACAGTACGTAGTTGAATATATCAGCATAACGGATCGAAGCTGATGGTGCTTTCAAAGGTCTAGCTACTATTACCTATCTTTAAAATATTTAATTTACTTTCATCTACAGTCGAACGCTTACAGGTCGCTTACAGGAGGTGGTCGCTTAAGAGAATAGGACCACAGGGAGTCTCTTCCGAGATGTCCGGGAACATCCACTTTTATGGAATGCAATTTCGAAGTTATGATATGTGCAGTTCCATGTTGTTACTAAAGTTCTTCGTAAATTGTGAGAAGCATAGCACACACAGCGAATATCAGAGATCAGACAAATCGTCAAGCTTACAAGAGGTTAAAAACAATGAAAAATCATTAAACCGTCAGCCCCAAATAGTGGTCACGGTCGCCTTAAGTGGGCGATCGTTTAAAAGAAGTTTAATTATAAGGCTTTGACTGGGAAAGTTTTGGTGTTTTGGAAAAAAGGTCGCTTACGAGAGGTGCTCGCACTTGGAGGTTCGCCTGTATTCGTAGTTGATGTCGTTGTCGTTTCAGAAAAATCAACAGGCTAACGTTATCCTTTCGTGCACTAAGTCTTTGATCCCAAGACATTAAGCGCTTTTTCTTTCAAGGAAAAAATATGTCAAACACACCATGCCCCAAAACTGGTCGATGTTTGTTAAGCAAACAAACACACCACAGTGTCAACTTTCTTGTGTGTTCAGGGTACATTTGCAACTGTCCCTGAATAATCTATCCAATTCAACACCCCTCCCCTGTGTTCATGATCAGTAACAGGGAAAAGGTGCTTTTATGACCACCAGCAGACTAGACAAAAGGTACTGGACCAGGGATGGCCGCAATAAAAATTAAGATACTTGAAGACGTGTATTTAGCATCTCGCTCCTCAGTTTTCACCCGGCTTTAACCTCCCACCTTTTCTTCGGATTCTGTTCTTTCTTCGGCAAGCTTTTTGTTAAGTGTGGCAATTTCCTCAAGAGCCTTCTTTAGTTGCTCATCTTTACTGGTAGTTTCCGAGATATACTTCCTTTGTTGGTCCAAGACATCTTTCTCCCTCAATACCTGTTTGTAAAACAAACTGAAGCTGTAATTGAGCCCGCAATCCTAATCTCCAGGGCCGGGTCGTTCAAAGCCAGGTTAAGATAATCCAGGCTTAGTGCGAAATATGAATTCAGATATGAAAGCTTAATAAGCAAATTCAGTTTCATTCTTCTTGTCTACAATTTGATGATTTGATGCTCTACAAGAATAGCGAAAATTATCAGAGAAAATGCTTTTGAACAAAAGAAAGAGAAACCCTGATTAAAATTTAACCCTGGGTTAGCGCTAAACGGCCCTTGAACAACTGGGCCCAGGTTGCTATTTGCGGGCGACAAGAGGAGCACGCAATCATAATCTCCAGGTTGCTATTATTCATGCACGGCACATATTTAGCCAGCTGCTAATGGACTTCCACTAAGAATGAATGGAATGCACAGAACGCAATCTGACCTGACGCAACTTTGGACCTTCTACCTCTCGTAATCTAATCACGCGTGTGTTGCCCATCTATCACGTGAATCTTACGCAAAGCACAGCGTTGGAGCAAAAGCGTTTTGACCTTTGACAGGAGCCCATCTTCCGCCTTCGATCCAGGTCGCCTGCACTCCGTAACCTTTTGTTATTACTAGTATGTACCCACCATTCGTTTGGACTTCCACTAAGAATGAATGGAACGCATAGAGCGCAAACTAACACTGAACTGATCATTCCAGCACTCGTGATCTAATCACGCACGTTTTGACCTTCTTTCACGTGAAACTTACGCAAAACAAAGCAGAGCATTGGAGCAAGAGCGTTTGCATGGATCTCGCCCGCAGTCTCAAACCCTGGGTTATAGTTAGTCGTCAATTGAAAGTTGCAGAAAATAACAAAAGACACAGAAGTTGGAACTACTAAACTAAGACAATAAACGCCATTCAGGCAAATGTTTTGCTGTTTACAAAAGCAAGGAAAGGTGTCTGCAACTGACCGCGGTCAAAAGAAAAAAGCTAGCAAAGCATTTCAAAACATAAGGTTCTCATTTTCTTCGTTCGAAGTTTAAAGTGTTACCAATACGCTGTTTTATACTTTACTAAAGGGTTTTGAAAGTTAGCTAAAAAGGTTCCAAGGGTGTGGAAACAGAAACTCACAAAATTTCGGCACCATTGGCGCAAATAAATCAGTTTTGATTCAGCGCAAAACGTTTTGAACGAAAAGAAGCTCATTCTTTCCGGAAAATATAAAGATCATGTATATGACAATAAATTAGGAAATCACGAAGAAGATTATCAGCAGTATGGGTGGTTGGATGGATGTATGGCTATATCGTCAGTTGCTACGACTTACTTATCATTAGTATGTGACTGCCAGATGCAGTTAAGCCATTAATGTGTCGTTGTTTGACTGCGTGGCTGCATGATGCAATTCGCGTGTCAAAATAAATAAAGATATCCGTACTCGCCACATAGTCTCCAATCTCAAGTGGTTGGAGCATCCGACCATAGTACGGAGGGTTGTGGGTTCGAATCCCACCTAGAATTCAGATTGCGGTTGATTCTCTTCCACGTGATTTTTAAATAAAAAGATTGTTTAATTAACAAAGGCCTTGTGCGCCTTCGGGCGTGAATAGAGATGACGATGACGATAATCTGTTTTTATACATCTTGTTCATGTTTCCACTTAATTAATGGTAAACGAAACCCTTACTGAATAAAACGAACCACGCCCAAGACGTTGGACGCAGTGGACGTTCCATTGAAAGTATTGAGGGTTAATAGAGATTAAGCACCGCGTATTTTTTCGCGCGAACGGCAGAGAGGGTCACGTGATCTGACTTTTACCGCGTTTGCTGTTTGCCGTCCGCCGTTTCAAAGAGAACAGGACATTATTCCCGTTTGGAGCCAAACGAGAGAACGTGATTATTTGCATCCCATTTCTACAGACTATTTCTTCATTTTGATCGCTTGGTTTAATAGCTATGTTTCGTTTATCATCCTTATTCTTCATGTACTGTTTGTAAAGCTACAAGAGTTTCAAATTCGAGCAATAAAGGATGCCAACTTCTCTGAGCATTTTGTCCAATCCCCGTGAATGGCCGCGACCGAGAATACCTGTCGTGTATCATACGTATTTTACTTAGTTTAAAAGAAAAACTAAGAAACAAAGAAACATATTAGTTAACAGATAATTAATTTTCAAATATTTTATACAATTTGTGTACAAAAATTATTTTTAACACCCTCGTTTTTTCCCACAAATACAGCGGACGGAACGACAAACGCCGCTAGCTGACGTTCGGCGTTTGCCGATAGCACGGTGCTTAATCTAAGTAATATTTAGAAGTATTTACCTCAGCCGCATACTTTTCAGCCTCAAAACGGCAGTGAGCTTCAAGTTCATATTTCTGTTGAAGGCTGTTAAACTCTTCAAGTGCTAGGACAGAAACTGAAATATAACGAGTAGAGATATTCGCATCAGATCTGTGTAGGGTGCCAATACAAGCCATTTGTTACGCTCCTTCTTTATCTACCATATCGCAATAGTTAAATACCTTTCCCAAGATCTGGCTGAGTGTCCATGGGGAGGTGCAAATTTTCATTATTTGATGATAGACTCCATGTACAAAACACTCAAGTATTTTCTTCAAAAACTAATCTCAATCATAAAAAAATCGCACCAAATTAAGTGTTACGGACAGTGCTCAAATTTTCAGTCGAAGCAAAGGATGAATAAACAGATCTAAATAAAAAGTTCTCTCTCGTTCAATACTCTTGCAGTTCCAATCTCACAGTTCGCGTTTTGCCAAAATAAAAACCACTCAAGTTTCCCCGAGAAAAAAAAAAACAGTAAACACCCCCGGCCCCACTTAATAAGAACCTGTTTTAGCCTAACACCTGTGACAGCTTCTTTTATAAAAGCATTGGTTACAAACTAAGAATCCATAATCAACAAAAACAAACATAATGGGAAAACTTTGTTAGTTTGTATCTAAGTTCTATATAAACAAAAGACTCTAACAATATTCTTCCAGGAACCTGTTGCGCTTATGCGCTGAAAAAAAAAACACTTTGTCAAGGTAAGTCATTGATTCCTCACCTCTGTTCAGCTGTTTGAACTGTTTTTCGTTTTTCAGAAGTCTACTCTTTGTAGTGTCATGGGCATTTTTCTCCTTGTTTAGCTGAAGATAGAAGTCAAGCATAACAGTAAACACACCCTTTTCACAGAACAAGAATATTGCTTTTTGTCTAAAAGGAAAGCACAAATTAAAGGTGATGTTACAAAAGATAACTCGGAACGACGATTTTTAGCGTAACACAGCGTTGCAACATGTTGCCAGTGCGACATTGTTTCGAATAGTTGCAACATTGTTCAAACATTGCAACGCTGTGTTGCGCTAAAAATCGTCGTTGCGAATCGTCACGTGTAACATCAACTTACTGGCACAAGTGGCAGAAATTTAGGCCCCGTTCACACGAATTCGGACATTTTTAAAAAAAAAACCGCATATTTTGCCACCAGGGTTCGTGTGGACGGGGCGTCAGACCACTCTAGCGAACTCTAGTGGATTTCCACTAAAGGTACGAAAAAACGGGCCACAAAAAACGTGCAACCTCTTTTGCAACATTGCTGCAAAACGAGTTGAATTGCGATGTTGCGCGTTTCACGACCTACGTTCAAACCTGTTAACAAACTGATTTGTTGCAAGACAGGTTATACGTTGGTGGTAAAACGCGCAACATCGCTATACAACTCGTTTTGCCGCAATGTTGCAAGACAAGTTTCGTGTTTTTTGTTGCCCGTTTTTCCGAACCTTAAGAATGAATGGAATCAAAGAACTCAACCTGATGATTTCTGCCACTTGTAACCTGACAACGCGCGTTTTGACGGACCGCCTATCACGTGAAACGTGCCCAAAACAGAGCGTTGGAGCAAGAGCGGTTTGACCTTCGATCGATCTCGTCCGCACTCCCTAACCATTGGTTATCACTAGTATTCTTGGTTTGCAATCACGTGAGAAGGTGGCCATGTTGGGGAGTCAAAACAATAGAACTTTTTCCCGAGGAATTTACATGAAAATCGACTTTAGTTCTCAGAGGAGAGAAATGCTTTTGTTCTTGACCGCCAACATGGCTGCCGTGACGTCACGTGCAAACCACCAATTAGTCCGGCATTTCATTTTTATTCCTCATTCAGAATTTACAATTTTACTAAACACTGACCTCATTTTGTGTTGTAGTCAATTTCTCTTTGGTAAGTCTTAACTCTTTTTTTAAGGCTTCCAGTTGTCCTTTTAGCACTAACAAAATACAGTACTGTGATTATTTATGTGATTTCTAAAAATCAGAGACGTCATCATCAAGGACAGAGCATACACCACTTGAGCTGGTAAAACCGCAATACCTCATTTAAAAGAGAAATTAATTTCCGCAAAACCGCATCACCGCAAAAAAACCTCAATTCTGCCCTTTTCGATTAATTAATGTTGTTCATACGTATCTGTTTGATTTTAGAAAAACGTATATTTCTTAGAGTCCTAAACATTGGCTAGTGTAGCTTTCTAACCTACCACCAAATAGTGGTCCCGCACGAACGCAAGCATTGAAATCATTGCATTCTGTTAGATTGTCTTTTTTTCCTCCCATATTATCCGCTGGATAGTAATTTAGTATCTAAAGTTTGAACATTCGAGGTCGGGGCTTTCGATATTTCGAACTCTCTTTGAAATAACTCAAGCCCTCTTCAATTTCTGTTCGAGGCGCTCACGTAGTGGAGAGGGGGAGGGGGAAATACAGGGCGCACAAAGAAACAAAGCGGAAGACAGGGAGGGAAAAGCTATTAAATTCTAGAGTAAAGAATCGTGATATCCTCCCTTATACAAACGTGTACGCTATACAGTCGAACCTCCATGCGCGACCACCTCCCATAGGCGAACACCCATCCAAAACACCAAAATTTTCCCAGTGATCACTACAGACGGAAACGTTCGTAAACGACTACCTCTTGTAAGCGATTGTGACCACTTTTGGATAACGGCTTTAGAATTTGCCATTGTCTTTCCTCATCCTGTAAGCGAACACTTAGGGCGTGATTTGATCTCTTTGTTTGAAACTACACATATTATCGTAACTTACAAATTACATGCAATGAATTCTATTCCAAAATATAGATGTGTCGGCCGGGCCTCTTCTAGAAGGAGACAACCTTTGCGTCGATTCTTGTAAGCGATCAGTGAGCCTTTGCATTTTGGGTGGGCGATTAGGGGAGGGTTCATTGTATAGGAGTCTGTTGTATAAACGTTCCCTTGTTCTATAATTCAATTTCTTTCTTCGATCATCATCATGAAACTCAAACATAAGCTCACCATTGATTTCTTCATGTAGAACTGCATTGTCATTTAATGAGCTATCATCTGTGGCCTCAACAGAAGGCAGTTCCTCCTGAATAAAGGATAAATTATTAAAGATTGGAAATAAAATGCACAGGATAACATTTATTTGCCCTCAGAAAAGGGACATAATTGGTAAGTACAGTTAGAGCTTGTTTCTCTGGATCTTTAATTTTTGAATGTAAAACCAAATCAGTTGTTTTTTGGAGGGAGTTTAAACTTAAGATTCAAAATCGGTTTTTCAAAGCGGGTGAGAAAGGAACTAGTTCTCCTTTCCCACAAACATCCATTGCTCTTACAGTGAATAAATCACCCGCGGTTCTTCTTTTTATTAGAGAGAGTCACGTTTACAGCAAACGGCAAACGCCAGATTCAAGAAGAGAATTTCTCAGAATGGAAAATAAGCAGATAAAAACTGCCAAAACAATTCTTATGGATAAAACTGGCGTGAAACTACATATTTTTGTACAGAAGTGATAAACAGTAAACGGCAATTAAGAGGAAAACTTGGTAACAGGCTACAAATTCACGTTTGCCGTTTAGTGTAAACGTGAATCTTTATCTCTCTATTATTGTTTCATATGCGCGCTCGACGACCTCTTTTGAGAACATAGAGGGTCTGTGAACAGGTTACCTCGTCTCCTTCATCCTCCCCTAGCAAATTGACGGGGAAATAAAATAACCTCGCGGCAAAAATAAATGAATAAATAGACTTTATTGTCTGGCACAATTACCGATGGACCCAGCAGTTTTCATCATGGGCACTAGCTGCTTGTCGTTTCAATACAAATCGCTTCGATACAAACTCAAGCAGTGAAATTTCACAAAAATTTTGTTCACTTCAAGTATAGTTTTTGAGTGAACAAGAAAAACATGTTGGGAGAATATCTTAGTTCTTCAAGCCAAGTTTGTGGAACGATTTACACCTCGAATGAATAAAGTTGTATCGAAACAACTTTGCATCGAAACGACCGGTAACAGTTCTATCTCCTACCAGCTTTGTTAGTTGGCCTATACCACGCCAATACAGTTTAAGTGCTTTAACCTAAATCCGAAGAATGCCATTTTCAGATTATTTTAGTGGTAAATACACCCGAGAACCTAAAGACATAGAGTTCCATTTTTAGAGTTTTTTTTCATTTGTTTTGGTGTAATGAAGCCCAAGAATCTTAGATCATGAATTAAACAGATTACATTCTCCAAAGTTGACAGGTACAATACCCTTGGAAAAACTATTATTACAATAAGATTACCAAGCAATGTAATTTTATTACAAAAACACGGTCTCAAAACTGTAAAGAAAATGCTACTAACAAATGCATCTCAGCTCAAAATGATTATAGAAACAAGTTTTATTTGTCTGTGTTTCAAAACCTGCAACATTAAGGTAAACCTGTCACTAGAACAAAATTATCTAAACTAACCAATAGTAAGGAATAATGATATCACTATTATAAACTGTGGTATTTTATAATTATGGGGAATATGAGGGTGAAAAAAGTTGTAACGTCACAGATTGTTGTGCATGAGGGAATATTATGGTGGGACTTTTACAATGTAATAAATAGTGGATTTAACAAAAGACTGAAATTAATTAATAAACTGTGGTATTTTATAATTATAGGGAATATTAGAGTGAAAAAAGTTGTAACATTACAGATTGTTGTGCATGATGGAATATTATGGTAGGACTTTTAATGAATACTGGATTTAACAAAAGACTGAAATTAAAAGAGAAAAAGCATTAAGCCCCATGCAAATGGCTGTAGCATTGTTGGATGTTACATGTTTCGTCCATTTACACACCCTGTTACTTATTGTTGCGTGTTGCTGGGAGTTGTTGCGCAAAGTTTGAAACCGGTCAAAATGTTAGTTTTTTGCAAATGGTGCAACAACTCTCAACAATGTTGGGAGTTGTTGGCCAACAGTGATGAGTCCGTTTGCACGGTTTTTTTTATAATAGTGGCTTCTTTGACAATTTAATCATTTCCAATTATTGCAAACCAGTTAATATACGTTTGAAGGCTATCTAAAAATTATTGTCAAGTGAGTAGCCTATGAGATACCAAGAAACAAGAATAATTATCATAGACAGAAAACACTTACAAGATTGAGCTGTCCCCCAGAGCCAATTTGTGAGATGAGCAATTGGCTTTGTCGCTTGAGAGCCTTGTTTTGTTGAACCATCTATCAGGGATTTCAAATCACAGAAGAACAATTTAAGTGGCTATATCGGCTGATTATTTTTAATTTACCATTTAAGGGTACGTATGTAAGGTTCCAATGGTTAGCAGTATGACATTGCCGAGGGCGATGTCACTCTCAGGCCGGGTTGTCACCGTTACACATTGCAGTCGCCTGTATTTCGGGAATCCACTAGCCTCGCAGGCACTTCCCCCAGGCTCATCGCTGTTGATGAGTTTAAAGGATTTAGGGAGACAAAGTGGCATCTTAATTAGCTAAGTCTTCAAGAACCAAGGAAAAGTTTGTTTGGCAGATCAAAGCCATTGTTATGAGCACTGTTTAAGTGATAGAACAACAGATGAAGATTCACCCATATAACATCTCACAAAACTTATAGTGTCTTTCTTAGTTTACCACTTTGATCATCCATAGTTAACATCAAGTGCCCCCAGCTGTAACAGGTATTTCTGCTTCTTCGCACACGTGTGCAGAGTGAAGAGATCTTTCAAACCATACCAGAATGAGCACAATTCAGTCAAGGACACCGGAGAAAGAAGCAAAAAACCACCTGACAAGGACCTGAAAATCCTTGTTCCATTACCCACCTACCTTTCCTTGCACCTAATCCTAAGATCCTAAAAGCTTTCCTAAAAAAACTCTTCCCACCAAAATGACAGCAAGACTCTGCTTTGACTTGATGGTCACAGGCTATCAAAACATCAGTCACTTTCAACACCAATCAACTCTTACTAATACTGTAATGCTAGGAGCTTAGTTTGGTAATACATACATTGGTGGCAAACTCCTCCGCCTTTGTCCTGCAGCTTTGCTCCACCTCAAACTTCTCATGCAAATTCTCATATTCACACAGTGCAACGTTTGAGACTGTAAGATACAAAGAATAAACAGAGAAGAAACAAAGAAAGCAGTGAATGTCTGGTCAAAAATTTGACATCTTGGACAATTAACCCAAGAAGCATTAGCAAGGAATTAAACATAAAAAATTGATTTTGATTCAGCTGTTGCCCATTTTTGATACAAATGCTTTGTGTCTCTAGGTACATTGTAACGAGACATTTAATCTGAAGTCAATCTTTTAATAGAATAACTCTGAAAACTAAAACTACACTGTTGTTGTCAGATCCCACATCCCTCACATTATTCTGAAAGACACCCTCGGTAACTACATTTTCATTGCATGATGTAGTTTCATGGTATGAAGCAGATTAAAACAGCCACTTTGTAATTCTAATTATACAAACAAATATACTACACGTACAAATAGGAAATTCTCGACAAACACCTTTGGATAAATCAGTTATTGATCTTGGCATCCTACGTAACCCATGCCATGAAATATTTTGTTTCTTTGAGGATTTTATGCATCACGGATATAGGATGCAGGGGTAGCAACATCACTAATCCCATAGTATGCTGAACATTAAGTAAGTGAAACCAAAAACCTACTATTTATGGCCCTAAACAAGATGATGAGCATCCTTGTCCCCATCATTATATGAGCCAAGCCTGCGTAGCTGGCGGGTTTTTCTGTTTTGATTTTTGTTTTTGGCTCGTATTTATACAGCCGCATGTAGGTCAAATGAAAAAACCGTGGGGGAGAGGGCTAGGGAGAGAGACAGAGAGAGAGAAAAACCACCTCAATAATTAACCCCTTGAGATTTTTGAAACGCCCCTTCCAGTCTTGTGAAAGGAGGAATTTGGCTTGCATGTGATGTGACATGTTTAGAAGTTTGACAGCTGTCAAAAACAACTGTCGCACTAATGGTTTGTAGTGTACATGTACATGTATGTTTTTTTTTTCAGCTCTTTGTGCTCATTTGATATTCAGGAATGGATTTTTTTAACGAAATGGGATTTCATTATTGGGCTCAAGGTTCCACCTTAAAATCAAAAGATTGAAATTATTATGTGCATATCATTTCATTAATGACACACCTTAAGACAATGGCAAAAGTTCACACAGACTGATCCCTGGAGTGTTGCCTTCTGTTATTTTCTTTATATCTTATAATATAAATGTGAGGATAATTTTTTCACTAGGCTTTTTCTGAACAAGAAATATTTCTGAAAAGGTGAAAAATTATCCTCACATTATTTTTGGAGTTTTAGAACTGCAGACCTCTTTGACATCTAAGGAGGTGAATATGTAATAGATATATATACAGATGTATACTGTGTATATTATAGTTAATTTTTTTTTACCTCGGGTTAATAATATATCAGGTCAGACATTACAAGCCACCATACAACCAATGGAATATCCATTGGGAATCTCACATCTACTGGCAGGTTGACATTCTGTGGGCCACAATCAGGAATGCCATTTGCTCTGTCCCCTGGCAAACAGGTTTCAAAAATCTCATGGGGTTGAATGCAGTTGGTTTTTCCCCAGCACTGCCTTCTCCCCCTGCTCCCATCCCCATGATTTTTTGGTTTGACCTTGGTTCAGTTTAATGGCTGTATCTGTTATCTTAAATTATACCAAAAAAAAAACCCCTAAAAAAAGCCAGCTACGAGGCTAATATGAGCCCAGTCAGAGAAACAGGTCAACCCAGTGAATAAAAAATTTCTGTTTTGTGAGTATCCAAGACACAACATGATTATATTTTATACAACCAAAAGTAAAATATCACCAGCCATGAAACTGACAAAAGATCCATAATAAGATTTTAAGAATCGATGGAATAATGGTATTCAAGGAAAGCCCACCTTCTTTATGAAAATCACAAAAAAAAAAGGAACTGCAAAATATCCCGTATCAATCTGCACTTTCTTAAGTTTGTTTTTAAATACTATAGGCTGCCAAAACAGCCAATATTTTTTCACACTACTAAAGGTTTTCCCACGAAATGATGTCAGAAGAACAAGTACAGAAATTTGACTATACTGATGATGTGTCACTACCTAGCTTTGGGTAGTGCTTCTGATTGTTAAAGTAAATTTCCAACCATGCAGTCAAAATCACTGCCCAGGTCAGGGTGGTGACACCTCATCAGGATGGCCAAATTTCTGTGCTTGTTACTCAGACATCAGGCTTGTCACTAAGATTTCAAGTACCGTTTAAATACAACAAGTAGGCGGGGAAACAAACAGCTAGGGATATCTTTTGGTTCTAGTTTTCTTTTTTTTTCCAATAAAAGTAGCCGGCGGTCACACTCATTGTGCCCGGGGAAAATCCCCGGCCCCCGGCTCTTAATGACAGCCCTGGACTTCATTTTGTGGGGAAACTGTTGGTAGCGTTGTGAAATTTTAGCTGTTTCTTAGACTAAAAAGTTTTTTAAAAAACTGAAACTTTGAAAACCACCTCATCTGACACCATATTCACAAAAAATAAGTTGGAAAAAAACCAAAACCTTAATCCACTTGTGCAAATTTTAATGTAATTAATACTAAATGTTACACATTCATTTACTCAAAGAAAAAGACTATTTCCTATAATATTATTTTTGTCACAACACCTGACTTAAAAAGAAAAAAAATAGGCCAATGAAAGAAAAAAATTTTATTAATAATGTATTTAATTTCACAGATGCAACAAGTCCTCTGACTTGAAATAAGATATTAAAAGACAAATATTATCTCAGTATTTTTTTGTGAATTAAATGATTTTTTTTAGAAATTTTTGCACTAAATTTATGTAATCTCGGGGCATATATTTAATTCAATTATTTCAGATCAATACAAAAGAGCCTCGAGAATAAAAAAACCTATACAAAAGCCTTGAGCTTGATGATTTACTATAGGTTTAAATGACAACGAATTGATTGAAACTTCCCCTTTAGAATAACTTTCTCATTTTATTACTGGGTTTTTATGCTGAATTTGTTCCATTTCCGTCTTAAGGACTCCAAACATGGAAATTCGTGGTACGATACCTGAACTGAAACTAATTAGCTTAATCTTGAAACAGAAATAAGCCGTCACTTTTTGTGTAATCTTTGTAAGATTATACCTGTAACTTTACCAGCTTAATTTCATAAGTAACGTGTTTTTTTCCCTCTCCGGCCTATAAATAAAGAGCAGAAATGCTCCAAATTAACGATCATTTCAATCTGCATTCAGGTCGAAGTAAAGCAGTTTTTAGAAAGTAAACCATCGACCCATTTCTTTATTTTTAATTAAAATGTCAGGCAGGCAGCTGTATTTCCTAAGGCAAATTACGCCAAAACACAACGTAAGCTAAAGTTTATCCGACGAAAAGACGTGCTGTAAGTAAACCTATCTGTTATACCAATACTTTATCAAATCAAAATAATACAGTATTTGCTTTGATTTAGCATTCGAGCTTATACGCGAAATGGCCAGGAAGTTTTACGACGAATTGATTTAGTCATTCAGAATAACTATGCAATATCGAAGGTTCATCGCAGCTTGTTAATGAAACGCTGGAAATTGATCACTCGCAATGTTTTAGCTAACTATTAAGCTTACGTATTCGCAAAACTACAGATACGTCTCCACCTCCAGATGCAATACGAATATAATATATTTTGTACTGATATTTACTGTCGACTGTACCTTCCTTGAGTTTTTCCAAGTCTCCTTTGGCTTTTAAATATTTCACCTCTTGTTCCTTGTACTAATAAAAAGAAAAAGAAAAGCTAAGCTTAAATCAATGTGATTGATATTTGTTTTTCAATTAGCAATTGACTTTTCCTCATTCTCCGAATGCATCCATGAATCAGCTGGAGTTTACCCATAAAGAGAAAACAATTAGCGAACAATAACCTCACCTTTTGGTAATACTCTTGGTATTTTTTCTGTAGTTCTTCGAATTCAGCGACGGCTGAAATGGAATAACATTTGATTTGATCGACCACTCGAAGATTTCACAGTTGAGCAAACTTTGCGACAAGCACTTTGTCTCACAAACTGTTCTTCAAGCAACAAATCACTACCTTTTTGAGATAAACCTTTAAGGTTTCGGTAATTTTTGTCTAGCACTTCCAGTCTCTTCCGGGTTTCATCTAATTCGGATTCGAGCGTCGCAGAACCATTTGAAGCGTCCGCCATTTTTTCATCGATAAATATTTTCCTGTCAGTGTGTCACACAAGCTGCGGTCAAAGGAAATCACGTGACATGTAACAACACTTCCTTCTCTCAACGGGTGTTTCAGTGGTTTCTCACCGGAAGATAGATTGTTCTAATTATCAAAATACGTTTCTGTTTTATAAGAGGAGACAGTGATCTCAGATAACAGGACTTAACCCGGTAAGGTGTCCAACAGAACTGAGACAGAAGTTCATGACAGTAGAAAGCCTGAAAAATTCAAGCTTGTACGAGATTCGAGCCCTTGAATTGCTACGATACGATTGTAGCGCTCAGCCAATCGGGATAACAAGCCAACTGTGAGCAGGTCGTTGGGCTGGTTCGTTATAGACCCATAAATTAAAAGGAACACGATAGTGATCAAGTAAGTAAGTAAGTAAGTTTAATTTCATTTCGGTCAATACAAGTTACAGCAGGCTAGAACAAGTGTCAGAACAAATATAAATGGATGGAGGAGGACTAAAGAAACCATTGCAGGCTTTTACCCCGGGGCGGGGACTCCCATATGAAACAGACGGGGATGCTCGTCGGAAATTTTGAATTTAACCCCTAAAGGAGACCATCTGGGCGTGGCTCAAGCCTTTTGTGACCCCTAAAGGAGACCAATGTGGGCGTGGCTTAAGCAAATTTTGACCCCTAAAAGAGACCGCTTAAAAACACACAAATACGACCTGCAATGAGTGTTAATGATATAAAGACATAACAAACGAAGTTAACAAGAAAATTTGACTTCTGTTTCTCTTTGCGTAATTCTGTGTTTCTTCGCGGAACCCTAAACGAGACCTTGGCGGCTTAAAATATTGGGGCTTTGCCCAAAACACCCTAAGCGAGACCAAAATCCAAAATTTACACCCCTAAGCGAGACGACGAGCATCCCCGTCTGTTTCATATGGGAGTCCCCCCCCCGGGGCTTTTACTAGGTAGTCTACCTATGTTCCACCCTTTTATGGGTTTTTATAAAATAACTAAAATAGCACACGCGTTCTGATTGGTTAAAAAGCTATGGTTTATTGTGCCGGTAAACTCATGGAAAACTTAAAGTTATTTTATAAAAGCGATAGACCACACTTCCCATGGGTTTCCCGGCGTGATAACCCACTTAGGATGTTGGGAGAACACTCGAAAAGTTTGTAAATCACGAGCCTGTGTTCTCCCAACATCCCGCGTAGGTTATCACGCCGGTAAACCCATAGAAAGTGTGGTCTACTGCCTAAATAACGAACCGTCTCTATTACCACTCCTACCTGGCTTGTTAGCTCAGTTGGTACAGCGTTGCACCAGCATTCCTCGCTATCTATAGTTATACTTTAATATCAAATCACTTCACTTCAAGCCAAAACTCTTTATCGCTACTTCGTCACATAAGAAAGACAAGGCTGAGAGTTCTGTCAGGCCTGATCCCCGGGGAGGTTGCCCAGGGGGGTGCAGTGGGGATTCTATAGCAAAACTATAAAATCCATAGGGCTATGCGTAGCCTGCGTGGCCAGCGCAGGCCTTTTTGTCACCTGATCTGTGCCAGTTTTTCCATCAATTCAATTTATGAACTGTAAAAACAATCATTTGTCTGGGGTGCCTGAATATGTTATCAGATTAAAGGTAAATTTACGCATCAAAGAACATAAATTATTTATAAGATTTTTTGGTCAAAGTACTGTCATCGTTTGCTGTTGAGCCCCTGTACCGCTAGCGTAGACCGCGTAGACTTGCCACAAGTCCATGTTTTTTTTTTTTTCGCGACGAAGTCTTGGAAATGAGCTAGATCGACAAAGAATCCGAGAAGTCAGCTTGTCTCGCCTGAAGTGGATTTTTAAATATAATCTGAATATTGGTGGCGAGAAGTACGTTTTCCTTCCTGACCGAACGATAACTGAACTAAACGGACCTTTCCAAAAAAAACATGCCAGGACTGTTCTGCCGAGTGCACTGCTGTGGTGCTGTTTGTTATACAACCAAGATGGTATAGTAGCCTTTTTTTTCCTTTTTCAGTGCAGCCCTGAAGAAGGCTAATTTTGTTAGCCGAAATATTGGCCTGAAATATATCAGCCCTTTGCCGTTTTGCCAGAGTTGAATCAGTTTTGTTTTAATTCCCAGTTCAAGTGACGTCTGGCATTAGCATCTCTACATTAGAGATCCGACAAGAAAGAAGCAGACGGTTTTATTTACGCGTTGAGTGGACCTCTGCATTCCAGGGTTTTTTACAAGATGGTGACTTAAAGCGATGGTAGTGACTACCGTCAAACTGCTTTATACAGGCCGGAGCCTTATGGGTTCCAGTCAACCTCTAGCAGCAGGGACAAATGACTGCTTATAAGAGAGCAAATCGAGTCTTGATTTTATTTTGCAGGCGTATAAATAGAGGCGGTTGAATTTAAGCGGGAAATATACAGGAGAACTATATATAATGGTCGAATCAATGGCGGTCGTGTCCATTCTATATAGTTTCTTTTTGTCACGTGGTTCTCTGGGGACAAGAATGCTCTAGAAGCAGTCTCTTTTCCAGACTGTGGCCGCGCTGCCCTCGTCCACTCCTTGTATCAGCACTGGAGCGTGCTCAGTTTCGGATAGGCAAACGGGACTATTCATAACTTGTGAATGTAACCTAAAGAAAAGTATATGCATGAATTTCCCTCGAGTTTAGAAACAGGAGATGAAAACAGGATTTCGAAAATTTAACGACTTTCCTATAAAGACATAAAGCGTAAATCAAATCGAAATGCCGGCATAGTCTACACTTTGATGAGGCATATATAGATATAGGCAGATGGTGAAGCTTTCTCTGTTTTTTAAGAACTGCTGCACTTGCTTTGGTGAGCCGATTCCTTTACAAGTCTCCCAAGACTTTTTTAAGCACAACGCCATCATACTTATATTTTTTAGTAAACGCAGTAGACATGTTGGGTTCTTCACGGCATAAAGTCTTGCTCGTGCCTTTCAGGGGCGGATCCAGAAAATCAGAAAGGGATGACCGGGACACTTACCAGATACAGAAACCATTTATTTTCCTTTTTAATTTATTCTTTACTTATTTTTTTCGCTATTGAACCTTACTACTGTTCCAGGTCGACACATATTCCCATTCCTGAAACATGTTCCCTCAGCACTGAACGAAATACATTGAAAATCTAGATAATTTGGTCACTGTTACATCAAACCTGTTGAATATAATTATGCAACAAGTAGGAGGAACAAAAATTTCCCCAAATACAGTAACAGGAATTCAGGGTTATGCCACACGAACGGAGACTTTCCTGCATGCAATATGTTGCCTAAGTGTACCCCAGCTATTCATCAAATCACAGACAGAACTGGTTAACACCTTGTAATGCTGGTCGAACAGAGGTTATCAGTCATTTACGACTATTTTTACGGAAATATATTTCTAATTCTAAAAGCACGTTTGGCTATACGCCTGCTAAATTTTGTCTCGTGATGATGTCTCGTGATCGAGTTCTACTTTTGCGATGCCTCATTAATTAATTAATTTTGCATTAATTCCCAGAGTTTCTCAATATAAAAAGCCTCTTACTTTATTTAAATCGTTTGTTCTTGCTTCCGTGTGGTTATTTTCCTAATCCAATGAAATTTTAGCGGTTTCTCTAACACCCATGTTTTTTGCTTAATTTTCATTTTTGCTTTTTTTTTAAATTTAGAATTCCTGCTAATAATTCCTGAATCTATTCCCATACAAATGTCCCATACAAATCCTTTATGTTTAAGGCTGCTTGTTTGGGAAATTACGCGATATAATACTGCACGTAACTCCAATATTGAGCTTGGGGTGCCTGTGGTGCCACTGCCTTGCCTTATGGAAGTTAATAATTTGGAAACTTAACTGAATTTCCTGTGCCAAATTACTTCGTGGGAAGAAGGTATTGTCCTCTCTCTCCTTAAAGTGGTATATGACTTTTCTTTGACATAAAATGAGCAAATATAGGGTAGGTGCGCTTTTTGACCTTGAGTCAAACAAAAAAAATATATATCACCCATAAAAAAACCACCTCGCATTATTAATTTATTCTTAAACTTGACCTAACAACGTCCTTTTTAAAATAAATCTTGCTACATTTTTAGAGAACAACTATGATCTCCTTGTGATCGGGCACAATCTCGTGACAACTTGTTATGGAATCTGTTGTACGGTTTGTTGCCAGGCAGGGGGAGGGGCATTACTTACTGAGGGCTATTTTCTGTTAAAGTGACTATATTTGTAAAGCACACAGTAAATCCTTTGATGATGCTGTTTCAATTAAAGTCCGATTTTCTTCTACAAGAAGAGTTACGAGGGTCCCCAATAGGGTTCTTCAATCCCGTAATCCCGACTCAAAATTTCGTGCCATCCCGTAATCCCGATGGTTATTTTTGGCATCCCACATCCCAAGCATACTTTCAATCCCGAATCTTGTAACGATTTTGGTTTAAAATCCCGAATCCCGAGCCTCAAATAAGGGAAATCCCGGATCCCGAAAAACCTATTGGGGACGACCGGCTCAGTTACGGGTTAAGGCACAAAGTGGTGGAGTTCGTCTTGATGTAAAGATTCCCTTCTTAGGGTGGGAACTTTAGGGCCTCCGATTGAAAGCGGTAAAAAAGCATTTAAGGAAGGAAGCAATAAAAAACGAAAACAACCACCCTTATAATCACCAAAACTTCAAGAAAACCTACGCAAAATAAAAAAAAGAAACTGCACAATGCTCTTGCACAAAATATTTTTAGTGACTTCGCAGAAATTGCACCTTTTAACATATGGAAAAACATCTATACATCAAAACTCGAACTCCAAAAGCGACTATGGCTCCCACCAAAATAGTGCTTTCCTTTTCCGCTATAAAAGCGCGCGAAACGGGGAACAACTGAAAGGAAAACCTCGGCAAAGCGCTAAGGCTCTTAAAAAGTATCGAAATTGTTTAGGAAAAAACCGAAGAAATGATCTTAAATTGCCAAAAAACCCGGCGATAAAGAGAAA